CGCAGCCCCCTCCATACACATGCATCTACGCCCCCCCTCACACTGCCATACACAAACCCCAGGCACATCCCCCAATACCCACCCACACCCCACATAGGCACACACCCACAACCCCCACAAACCTATACCCACCCCTCACAATATACAAAAATAAGACTTCATTTTAAGCTATCATGCAGTCAACTCTGCATACACTACACAAACACATGTAAATCAGGACAAAAATATTTTCTGACATCAAATTAATGAATGTTGTAGATGATCACTTTTTAGAAGATAATTTAGTATTTTTCTGGTTCTGAGATGGCAAAACCCCTTGCTGAAAGGAGTACTTCTGGGGGAAAGAGGAGGGAACTTCTGGTGGCAAAGGTCAGGGGTTAGGGGGTGGGACTGCTGGTCACAAGATGGCGACCAGGGGGCGGGCCTACCCATGTGGCCCTCGACAGCTTGCCAAAACTTGGTAAGTGGCCCTCCGCCCAAAATAATTGCCTGCCCCTGCCTTAGGAAGAGTAACTAACTTAAATCTGTAGTTCACTAGAAGTTACCATATCACTCTGCCCCTCTTTAAAACAAGTAAGATTTCATCTATTTCTAGTTTTGTCCAGAAAATCATCTGTCAGCTAAATCATCTAAAACTATGGTAGGAAAGCTATGACAATGCACGCCCTGAAAAAGTGGCCTTCACGGCGTATAAAAAAGGGCTCCAACATGTCCACACAGGTCAATATTCTACAGTAAATTATCATCAGCTAATTGCCCCTCAGATATGACAGCCTATTAAAAAATTAGGAGAAGATCTCTTTGCAATGCAATGTCAAAAACACTGAGCTGGCACTGATTCAAAAAGCTTAACTAAAAAAGGGCGGGGGGGTAATTATTCAAATATTGTCAAAGAATGGATATCTTTATCATCTTTTATCTACGTTTGATGATAATATGTTTTGGACAGACATAAGAAATTACTAATCAAGGATCAGGCTGCCAACTTGCTAGTTATGCTAGATCAAGACTGTTAGAAATGAAAGGGAAATGGACTAAAACCAAAGTAACGAAAGCCATATGATTAAGAAAACAGATTCTCTAATTATGCTTTCAAATGCAGTAATTTGCCAAGGATAAAATATCCATCAAAGGTAGTCTGAAGTGCCAAATTTAGAAAGGAAACACTGTATGACCCATCAACCTTTTCTCTTTACTAACTTCCTGTTGAAGGACATGTTGAGACCAGATGTGCAAAAAAACCCAAAAAAACCTCTTTGCCAATCAAGATGGAATGAAATTTGAATATGCATGTAATAATTTATTCAGTTGCCTGCAGGAACATTTGTGTTATGTCTACCACTTGGTTCCAGCATAAAGATAAATAAAAAATGTAAATAGGGGATGAAAACCGTCACTAGTAGTAAAAAAATTCTAATGTAGATAATATGATACAAATTAACTGAAAGAAATCAACACAGTTGTACCCTTCACCGTACTTCATACCTCTGAATAGGGTGCACACGTATGCTCCAGGTAACAGACATTAGAAACAAAAGTGCACAAGATCTCAAAACCTTTACCTTAGCTATATTTTACATTAGCTGAAAATTCTTTAAATCCTATTTCGTCTGTTAGTTAACAAAAATTCAAACGTGTACATGTAAACTATATCCTGTTTAAACTATATCCTGTCAGAAACAATTCCTCTCATACGGACAGAGAAATCACTAATTTGGTGCCAGTAGCACTTTGCCTAGAACCAAGTTAGACATTTAGGATGTCTGTATATGTGCTCCGAAACAAAGTGGGGAGCACTTTAATTAAAGCTGCTTTGAAAGCCGCTCTAATTAAAGTGCCCGCCATGACATGTTTATTCAGTGTCCTGCACTTCAAAATGGTGGTGGGGACGCTTTAACTAAAATTTGTTTGACAAGCTTTAGTTAAGGTGCCCTTTTTAAATGCGGGAATGCTGAATACACATGAAGCGGAGGCTGCTGGAGTGTGCTAATTAGCATGTTCCAGCAGACTCAGTTAATCAAGTCTGCTCCAATGTGTGCTAATTAGCACATGTCAGAGCAGAGGTTCATCATGTGTATAAGTGCCCTTAGTTAGGTTCTTGTGTTTGTTTTTTAAGAAATAGATTTACTTTGCTAAGTTTGTTAGTTAGTTTAGTTAATATACCTAGATTTTCAGGTTACAACATTCTCTCTAATCCTCTCCATTTTCATTGTAAATGGTACTGAGACCTATTAATTTCTACAAATTTAAAATGGGAAACAGGCTATACTAGACTTCAATAGATCTACATATTGGTGTGTTGGGGGTTTAAATACTGAAACACTGATAAAAGATGGACCCCTTGTTAAAAAGATGGTATAGATGTGTGTCAATGCCTGGTATACACTGGATTTTGCTATCTACCGTCAGCCAGTGCTTTTGACTCTGTTTAGAACATAGTCTTTTGTCTCCAGTATTTTGTTTATACATGAAGGATTGAATCAACATACCTACTTTGCAAAACTGTGTAGCTTTGCAGCCAGCTTACTAAATCACTTCCTATTTAACACAACCGACTTTCTTTCACAGTGGGCGTGTCTACATGAGACGCTTTACAGTACAGTAGTGATGTTTACTAGGCAGTAAGCATGTGCGTCTACACATGCTTACTGAACAGTAAGCCTTGTTACTCATGAATAAATTTGCTACCTGCAAATGCAAGTAGCAAATTTACTTGCGATTACTAACTGTGCAGTAGCGCTCATGTAGATGCCTGACCGGGAGCAAATCTGCTCCTGGTCAGCCAGCAACCAGGAGGTGGGCAATTGCTATCTGCCCATGGGAGCTGCCTGCTGCTGGGGCAGGCTCTGCCACTGGTGCCCTGGTGGGGACATGTCCCCCTGCCCTGGCAGCACGGAGTTCCAAGCCCTCACCCCACTCTGAGATAGCAATTGGGGAGTGGGGGCTGGGTGATCCTTATCTCCCAGCACTGGCCCCGTGACCACGGAGCTGGCACTGGGAGCTCCCTGTTGGTAGGGACTGGGGAGCCTGTTCCCCATCTAGCTCTGCAATCATGGAGCTGAGTAGGGAACAAACTCTTTAGCCCTCACCCCATGATTGTGGAACAGGGGCTGGGACCTGTCCTGGTCAGGGGCAGGTCCCAGCCCCATGCCCCAATCAGGCGATCAAGGCACGGGTGTTGGTAAGAGCTGCAGGGGGGGTCAGGTCCCAGCCACCTGCACCTTTCCTGCAGCTCTTCCTAAGTCCCCTACCCTGATCAGGGAGCCAGGGCTGGGAACTCCCTGCTGCTGGGGTGGAGGGATATTGTCCCTGCCCTGACAGCAAGCAATGCCCCCTTACCCCCCACCCCGGGGTGCAAGGAGTAGTGTCCAAGCCCTGGCCAGTTCCCTGCCAGTTCCTGGGCTAGCACCCAGGGGAAGCTTAAAGCTCCCCCTGGTGGTGGCAGGGGCCTATTTCAGGGCCCCACGAAACAAGACCAGTTTGCTGCCATTAACAGCAAATCTGCTCTCATTCCCCTACACATGTAGACACCTGCCCAGGAGCATTTACTCACGAGTAGTCTACTTGCATGTAAACTACTCCTGGATCTAATGCACGTGGGTGTAGACACACCCAGTGTGTATCAGTATTTAGAAAGTCAACTGGGAAAAGGACAGTGTCCCCTTGAGAAGTCAGAATAGTTGAATCTTACCTCTCTTCTGAATTTCTAGGGGATTGGTTACTGTGGTTGCTGTTCCCAATGAAATTCCGAATTTCTGTGAAGTAAGAATCCTCTTTGTCGTCTAGAATTGCCCCTGTGCTTTCGAGTTCTGAGTGAGGTGAGGATGTTGCAGTACCTTTAAAGAAGGCAAAATAAAGTATCAGTTTTTGAGGAGTTATTTCAACTGAAAAATTAATGATCATCCTGGTTAAGATGGTTTCCAATACAAAATCCTAAGACAGATCTTTGTAACAATAACCATAATACTTTGTAGGTTTGTGCATACATCACTTTTTGGTCGTCAAGTTAAAGTGCTTCCAAACACAAATTATGTCTAAGTATCATTCCCATTTTACAGTATGCTCAGCTGAAATATAGAGAAATCCTTGTTTCCATTGAAGTCTATTGCAAAATTCCTATTAACTCCAATAAGAATAGCGCTGGTTTGTAAGTAGAGGTGGCCAGAAATCTGTGTTAAGATAGTGGAAAATATTGCTCTGTGAAAGCAAATTTTTCATAAGATTGTATCAGTTTAAGTTTTTTTAAGGATTCCAAGGTCCAGGAGAGAACAAGAGACTCCACTCCAGTATACCTAATAACTGGGTGACCAGGACAGTCTTCTGGAATGAGAGAGATCCAGGTTCAAGTTCCTACTTTGTCTAGTTCAGACAGAGACTTGAACTTGGTCTCCCACATCCATTTTGAGCATACTGTTCACCTATATATCCTGCGGTAGACATCTCTCATTTTTGGGGAAAACCTTCTTGGTTATGGATGAATACAAAACAAGAACATTTTTAAAATATTTTTTGTATGACAACATAACTTTTTCTGGCCTTTTTCTAGTCTTAAATGACTTTCCCAGTGGCACATAGTGAGTCAGTGACAGGTAGACCAAAAAGAGTCAGTCCTGACTCCCAAGTCCCTTCTTTTGAACATCAGAAAAATAGTGCTGATGTTCACCATCTTGTCCAAAACAAGACTTCTTGGGCGCCTATACATGTGCAAAGAGGCTGCTTTGGTGCAATTAATTGAGTCTGCTGTAGCTTGCTAATTACCGTGCTTCAGCAGACTCCAGCATCACGTGTATCAGCATCTGCATGATGAAGGTTTGACAAGCTTTAGTTAAAGCACCTCTGCCATCATTTTTCAGTGTGGGGACGCTGACACTTGTGGCGGTCTGGATGCTTTAATCAGAGTGGCTCTGAATGCTGCTCTAATTAAAGCGCCCTCCCCCCATCCCTGAGCACATCTATAAATGTCCATTATGACTAGCGGTAACCATCTTATTGAAGCCTGATGATGTACCTAACTGAATAATGGAGAGACCCAAGATCTTTAAGTAAACTGCTGTTGGTCAGCAGTTCCTCAAAACTGGTTGGGTTTAATCAAGTGCCTTCCAAGCCCTGAGTTTAGTGGGGCAGCTGCCCTAATTACTTACCTGCCCACCCCAAACATAGCTAGAAACGGGTCTAAGAAAGAAGAATTGCTAATTTGTCTGATTATTCAGCACAGATTAAAAGTGCAGGCAGGGGCAATTTTTTTGGGTAGGATTTCAACATAATGCCCTGCATAATGGGTCAATTTTTTTGCATAGGATTTCAACATAATGCCCTGCATAATGGGCTTTTGGTAGGATTCACACCTTATGGTCACCACAATCCCTGCTTGTAAGCTTGATGCTGTTTCACTGGCTTATGTTAATAAATTGTCCTTACCAACAGTATATTTCAATGTCTTTCTTTCCTGCCACCCTGTACCATCAGTACTTTCAAAAAATAAATGCTGATATTAAACCAGGTATTCCACTGAATAAGTGGGACATATTTTTACCTACTACTTCTGTAACTTGGTTTTAAGCATGCAGTATCATTGACATAATTACAGAGGACTACATTCATATCACACCCAAAGATAACACATTGCAAGCTATCAAGCACATCCAGGAAAAAAACCTCAACCTCTGCATTCAATATATTATTATTATTTATTAGATGTATCTGTTGCATGAGCTCAATTATTTCAGTTAGGCAGATAATGAATTAAAAAGAATGCAAACAGGGACTTCTAAAACCCTGCAGGTACCTGCTAGCCAGCCACTCCCTTTGTGACCCATATAATCCTCCAGTGTGATGCCCTTGGTTAGGTGGGAATTCTAGTTCAGTTTGTAATTTGGGGGGGCTGAAGGGGGTGGGGAGCAAGGGAAAGACAAAGCAAACATGCTGCTGAAACTCAAAACATTTTAGGAGATGCACCCAGAAAAGTCTAAGGTCCAAGCTTTCATTGGTAGCAGTATGACCATGGAAGTGGAGCGAAGATGCTTGGGCAGGCCCAGTCCAAATATGTCAAAATTGATTTGAGAAAAACCATAAACCTGTAATTAGCTACTAAGGAAAAAAAAATCTGTGCTGGGATTTTCAAAAGCACCTTGAATATCACTGTCGCCTCGATGTTCTTGTGCTCTCAGGTATTTTCCAAAATTTCACCCAAAAGCTTAGAACAAAGGTTGCATACTTTACAAAGGCAGCTTTGAAAATGAGCAGAAGGCTATTGTCTGTTAACACTGAAAACATTTACGGGGCAATGGAAAGGGAGAAAGATTACATACCAGACATGTTCCCATTCTCATGCTTTTTTAGATGTCTGTCTAGATTGGTTTGTTGACCAAAACACCTGTCACATAAGTGACATTTGAATGGCTTCTCCTTATTGTGGATGTTACGGACGTGCCTCTGCAGGTTAGAAGATATGCTAAAGGACCTGTCACAGTATTTGCATCTAAAAAAAATGTGTGGGAAAAAAGGGTTTATTAGTAGCTGGAAAGATAATTAGAATAGAAAGTGACAGGCATCCAGAAAAATTGTCCAAAACAAACTTCAGACTTCAAATTCTAACATGTTCTCCATCTGAAACCTTTTCTTTTCTTTTCCTTGCTTTCCCTCTGTTTCTTTGCTTTTCTTTTTAAAGATTTGATGGCAGGCATTGATTCAATCTCACTGGACACTGCATTTGATGACAGAACTGACTTAAAGTGACTTTATGCTGGTGGAACTCCACTGAATCAGATCCAGTGGTGCAATTCAGTGAAGTGCTAAGTAACCTTAACTTCCATTGCTGACTCTAGAAGATGCTCAGCACCTTACAGACTTAGGCCCTAGAGGCTTTCAGCATCTTTTTATGATAATTCCTAGTATTAGATTAATTATGCTGTCCTCATACAGGTAAAATTCCCCTAAAATAAGAGGGCGTTTTACTTGAACACCTGCAAGATTAGGCTGTTATAATTTAGGTGTTATCCACACAGCTGATGTTTCAGTTTCAGTCTACCTTGTCTCTTAAAAATGTAAGTACTGCATTTAAGAAGGAGCATATTTCAGATTTAATTGCATAAAATTAGTTAGGGTAATTGATTCCCATTTTTTGAAGTATTGCATGCAAAATGGAGTAGTTTGAAAACAGTAGAGCAATAACTGTTGTTTCATGTGCTGCCAATACAATACAATTAAACAGTTTTGGGAGGGAGAAAAAACATGAAACAAATTCCTTCTAATGTTCAAATAAGGTAAAAAAGGCCATTTTTTCTATTCAAAATTATGCTGTGTGATTAAATCTTTTCTTGGGGAATTAGCTTGCTTGATTGCTAATCCCAGAGGAAATTCGGTTATCTTCCAAAACCGAGCAATAAACAGTCCAAATCTTTAATATTGTGCCAATGTGAGTAGTTTAGTCTATCACTCTGGTACCAGAGGCATCAATTTTCATACTCTGTAGTGATTTGGAGTCCCTAAAGCCTTTACTGTATTGCTCTTTAAGCCATTACTAAGACATACTATAACTATTCCAAATTCTCTTGCTGGCAACTAGCCAACACTCTTCATCACTCCAGTTGTTCAATCTTCTCCTCTACTTCAAAACATCTCTCTCACACTATCAATGATGTCAATTTTTTCAGTGCAGAAATTGTCCATTTTGCCACTAATTGTTTCTGGCTTTTACGCAGTGGACAAGCAAAACACGCTTCAAGATACCTCTTTAGTCATGGATAAAATTAGACATGAATCCTGTTTCCCCAAGAGATTCCCAGGGGGGAAAAAAAAGGTTTCATCACAAACAAGGAACTTTTTCTGCTCTTTTCAGGTTATAAAATTTACAAATTTGTTTTATTGAAAAATGAACTGGCTTCATTCCAACTGATTTTCAATGACTATTTCATTTTCAATAAACTAAAGCTTCAGTTCTTATTTCTATATGTGCATAACTACCACGTTTGTCAACAAGAGAGAAACCTAGATATAGTTTGGGTAATTTAACACTTTCAAAAGAATTCCTATTAGACCAGGAATAAATTAGTATAATCAAAGCTTTGAAACCATGCCGTTTTGAAAATCAGTAGAACGTAAAGAGCATCTGAATTAAGTATATTGTTAAATATTTTAAAAAATACTATTGTTGAGCTTCTTTAATATTTTCAAAAGTGTGAAAGTGATTTAGGTGCACGAGCTCCACTCAGAATCAGGGGACTCAATGCTGTTAACTTGCTCACTTTTGAAAATTCCATCCTTAAACGTCAGGTTTTTCCTCCAGCTCCCAACACTGGACTCACTCTTTTACTAATGACATCAACAAAGCAGTATTATGCCAACGCTGAGTGCTTTTGAAAATCCCACCTTCTATGTCTCTAACTACTACTACTACTAATGGCCTGCACCCCTTAGATACCCACTGCAGTCACTGGAAAGTGTGACTCTCAGTTCCTGGTAGAAGAGGATTTCATTTATCTGGGATTCAATTATTGTGGGTGAGTTCTGCAATAATAATGTTATCCTGGATTTCTACTGTAATTTGTATCCCACCAGCTTCAAATCCAAATCCATGCATGTGAGATATACAAGCATGTGAGGTGGGGATGGAATTTGGGAAGGAAGTTGTTGCTGTAATGTTATAATTGTGTTTTCACCTCAAATATTTTCCAAGCTATGACCAAAATCTCTCCTTGTCCCTTTAGGCAAGCATGTCCAAAACACTATATAACTGCGTGTGATACATCTGTCTCTGGAGTGGAGTGTCTAGATCAGGACAAAGAGTGTAGGTTTTTCATTCTGGTTTATTTTCTAAATATATTAGCTAACGCATTTCACATTTCATGTATACAAAGAGGAAATAACAAATGTCCTATATCAGCACATTGTGCACACAGACCAACAGACAATATTGTGAGCAAAACTATAAACATTTCCTAATAATAATAATAATGCCAGTGTGATGCATTTCACTTAGGAAGACAAGGGTCTATAAATTTCACTTGAAATCCCAAAGCACCTCATAGGCAGACTGCTCCTCACAGCCCTCCTGTTGCAAGTAATGCCACCTATTGTTTTTCAAACAGAGGAACTGAGTCAGAGAGATTTCCAAAGGCACCTTGACAATTACACAATTCCCATTGAAATAAATAGAGTTCTTCAAACCCCTTGAGGCAGCTTTAAAAAAATCTCTTCTCAACCACGCTGAGGACTTGATCCAAAATCTATTGAAATCCATGGAAAGATTCCTGTTCATTTCAATGGGTTTGTAATGAATCACGGCTAGAACTGGAAACAAATAACAGAAATACTGAATTCCCGTTTTCCTGCTTTAACCACTATGCCCCATACGTTAACCATCGCATTATGCTCATGACTACAAACACAGGGCAGGGTTTATTATACCTGTAGGGCTGTTCTCCAGTGTGCGTCCTCAGGTGACGTGTTAGGTTTGCAGATCTTGGGAAAATCTTACCACAGTATCTGTGATTAGAAAATAGTTTATAAGACAGAATAACCGCAGCTGACTTCATTTCACTCTGAGCTGCAATCGTGAACCAGATGTACAGCCTTAATTTAATAAATCCTGTATGGTATTGGTATTTCTTTGGCATTTAAAAATTTCAATCAAGGCATCCGACAAATATAAATAACCTTATGAATGAAGCCTGAATTGCTGAAACTGGCTGGAATTTCTTGCGCATACGCAAGCAATTTATGAAAGCAGACTTTAGTTTTAATGACTGTCCAAAAATTCTAAACTTATTAATTCCATTCTGTCACGTTCACGTTTTTGAAGCATGAAAATCTGCTATTAAAGGCTGGGAATTCTGGTTTGATGTAAGCGGACTTCAAATCTTTCAGCTCATTCTACGTGTCAGCAAATGTGACATCATTCTGTGCACTGAATAGGATCAGATCAGACAAGATGCAAAGACCTAATCCATCAAGGTATGTTTCTATAACAACTTGTCTTGAAAGAAGGTGACATGTTTTCAAAAAGATCAGATAAACTGATATGCCAAAGTCAAAAGCCAGAACATTCTGGAGATGGTATAAGAACTTAAATGCTGCAATTTGAAAATCATTCTCTCAATTCCCTGAGAGCTATAACAACAATAAAACCCCACTAGTACTCCTTAGTAATGTTCCAAAAAACAGCATGATTGGAATAGTTACATTCAGCACCTTCAGCCCTGTCTTGCATGGCAATAAGTGCTTTCCACTCCCCATGAAGTTAATATGAAATATAGTTACAGTATACGAGACAGACTTTCTAAGTTTTTCAGCATTAAACCCTGTATTTTTAATGTGCAATTTATTATTTTATACTAGGCTATACAAGTCCCAAACAGATCCATGAGTCAGATCCTGCTCTCTTTTACAAGATTCCTATTCAATCATACTCGCAATGACTGCTAAGATATCACTTTCGTTAAGGTGGAACATATATGTTTTAATAATTCATATACTTTCTGAAAGATCTCTTTTGAAATTAAAGGCAGAGGTCTGAGAAAAACAATCCTGTAGCTTATGAACAGAAAACATTAATAATGAAAGCACAATTATTAGTAACAAGGTGATGAGGAAATATGGAAACACGCTTGTTTTTGTAATGTTTTCAGCCTCATTCATCAAACTAGGATGATACAGGACAAATTCCTTGTACAATAACAAAAACCAAAACAAAACACAGTTTCCATGTTTCACTGACTAAAGGGCACTTTGAAATACTATAGACCTACCATGATCTCTATTAATCATCCAATCAGGAGTAATTTCCAAAGTAAACAGTAGACCCTTTTGAAAGCAGAGAGATGTTAGGAGAGCCTGTCATGATTAGTTTTGCAATTACCTGCAGGTATAGCGTTCCTTGCCCTTTCTGAGAAGGTTTTCTGGGAGGGCACTTGGAGGGGCTCTGAAGTTGAACATGGACGGGACAGATTGTATGAGTTCACTGGCTTCTGGTTTCAGGGCACTAAAACTCTCTAGCTTTTCGGCCATGTTTTCGATAGCTGACATCTGTAAAAGAAAAACAAACATCACAGTGAAGTCATTTTTTTTCTGCAAAGATAATCCTGAATGCAAAGCATGCCATTAAAAAAAAAGATTGTGTGTAATAATGGCTGAAGAAAACTATTTTTTTCTAGCCAAGTAGGACAAAATAATGGTGAACTGTGTTACTAAAGTTTTAATAATGTAAATGTCTTCTGTTGACTGTAGATCACTCAGCAGCTGTGCAGATGCTGACAGTACATGATAAAGCCTGTTCATCTAGCAGCTCATGTTTCCTGATCTCCGTACACGCTAACAAATAATTAATTCCATGCAAGTTTGAAACTCAGTGGAGGGAACGTTTATAAAACTATTTATATTCAAATTCTAATTCATTGATTGACTTATTTATTTATTTGCATTTTAGATTCTTACACTTTTCTCCTACATTAATATTATTGTTTCAAGTCTCATAACTTGAAAACTCTGCATAAGGCAAATTCTATACTCTGGATTGTTCTAGGGAAAATAATAAGATATCTCCACTTAAATCAGGTGGTAGAGGTCACATCCTGTTTCTAATTAAATCAACCTGGGATTTGCCAAGGATTTCAGTGGGAACAGGATTTGACCCTATATGCACCTACGACAAAAATATGATCCAAAATGATCATTTGGAGAAAGTGGCTCTTACAGTAAAGTCTCTGTGGCAGGTGGAGGGAAGTGCTGCTGAAGATGATGAACTGAATTCTGTTCTGAGTTGCATGTTATAAAGCTAGAGTTCCACTGAATCTCACCGACTTCACTCCAGTCTAAACAAGGGCAAAGCCTGTCTCAGACTGCAGGCGCATACATGCCTGAAATATCACTTACCCTTCAACAGCAACTGATACCTACTGTGATCTCTTATCAATCTTTACTTCTTTTTCCTGTTTGTTTTGAACTACTTTTGGATTCCCCCCCCCCCCCCCCTTAACTGTTCTTATCTCATACGCTGGCTGGTGTGATGATCCCAACTCTATCCATTAAACATACAATAATGTTCCCCAAGACTTTGGAAAATCCCCAAATTACTCTGAATCGTTAGCCACTTGCAACAATTTTGGCAACAGTGCACAGCTTGAAGTGATTGCCACAGAACATTTTGGCATCTGAACCCTGAGCGAGGGTAATAGATTTTAACCCTCTTTCCATGAATTCTCCCTTCTCTTTCCTAATGTGGTAATTCCACTGACTTCAGAGGAAATGCTACTGATTTACATTGGAGCAAGGAAGAGGAGAATGTGGCTCACCTTGTAAGAGGAGACTATTTTCTATTATGCCCTACTGTATTTATAAAGTTATATTCAAGAAAGAGAATATTTTTGTGTCACATTCTCTAAGGTCTATGAAGAGATTGGTTTGTTTCTGATGGTTTTGTTTCAAAAAAAAATATTGCCTGCTTGTTTTTTGAAATGACTATTCATGTTCTGGTTAGCTCTGGGTTTGAGGGTTTTTTTCCCTTTAGCCTGTAGCCTGCCCTCTCATTTCATGCTCAGACTCCTAATGCTCACTACAAATTGCAATGTACAGGGTACCACTGCCAATTTGCCAAATGTCTTTCATCAAACATGGTGCAAAAAAATCTCAGAGGGAAGTCAAGATACATTTACTTGTCAGGCGACAAATGTGAAAGCATTGGGAGGCAGTAGGGGCTGTAAGCTCTGGGGTTTGATTCATAATCACTCAGCTGCTAAAACATTCTCCACAGATGCAAGTGGACAGCACATTTGTCAATATGAAGGATTTTGACATGTACTGATCACAGGCCTGAGATATGTAATGATGATGCTGCTGGGATAGGAGGTAATTCTGTCCCAGCAGAGCAATGTCATTATCAAGCCATACAGCTCGACATTACCATATATTTATTTTTATAACGTTTCATATTGTTCTTTACTCAGGATCAATTCTTAAAACTTTTATGATACTATTTCTGCTGCCTTTAATTCCTTCTAATTGTTCCCGACAAGAAATCATTCTGATATTTTACTATTGCAAAGAATAAATGGCTTGAATGAAAAATGACCTTTGGCCTTCAGGCTGATTAGCAGTGACAAGACAGTGCATGGGTTATGATAGCACATATTTATGGTGAAGAATAATAAGTAAATTGAGAGGATAATAAATGTTTTATTTATGCATATTTAATATTCAAGTCAGTTTCATTATCTAGTGGTTTTAAATCATTTTTGGATCACCATTTTTCACGTACATGGCTCCTTCCAGTAATATATTAAAGAAACTGTTTTCCCCTTCTCATTTAAAATGGGTTAGTCATGCTTATTATCATTATATTATCTTCAGCTGTGGCATCTGATTCTGCACTGTCCTACCACGTAGCTGCATGGATGGCAGCAAGATTACCCCTATCTACACACTCAGCAGGAGGTCAAGATGACGTCCTTAGTTTCTTAACTATAGAAAGTAAAAGTACGTCCAATTATTTTAAAGGCAACGGTTGCTTTTAAAAATATGTGCCCAGCTGGAGTAATTACTATTGCTTATTTTTTAAGAATGATCACTGTCGTTACCTTACATGGTTTCTATGCCTTGCAAACCACACACAGCAGTAAGAGACAATATTACGTCTTTGGGACTACATTCCTGGTGTGTGTAAATCAATGCAGTACCACTGAGGTCAGTAGAATTTAATCAGTTTAGCAGCAGATGTGGCTCCCAGTAACCAAAAAATGGTACATTCTTAAGGATAATAATGGCTGAATGAAAATGAGTGGCTTTTTTCTTTTCCTATGCTTCACAGGCAGCCAGCCCTGAAATAAAACTGGGATAAAAGTGAGGGAAAGGGAAGCTCTTAGCCTCTTTCCATGCATGTTACGCAAA